GTCTCCTTCAATTTGTTTCTTACCTTGGTGAACACTAGAAATTAAGTTAGTAGCTAATGGCACGGCTAGTATATTTAACTTGATTAAATGTATTTAAAAAGTTGGTTATTCCTCCTTGTAGGCTACTAGCAAATAATTCATTGAATGGCTCAATTTCATCCTCCCTTTGGCAATACTGGGCTCCAAATACAATAGAGAGTACTCTTACACTGTAAGTCTTGAAAACAAATTTATCTTTGTTTAGAATCTAAACCTTACATCATAGTTATAGACTTGACTTGTCAAGTGAAAAGGTTGATCTAGATTTAGGAGCCTCATTTGTTCTCGCTTAAAATCAATAGTCTAATAATTTGTGATGTTCAATGACTGCTTTTGTTAATATCGGTGCTTTGTGGTGCTTTACATTAACTATGCAGGGATTTGGAGAACAATAAGCTTGCCAATATTTCTAGCAATTTTGACCTCCCTCCAAATGTCACTCTTAGGTTTGCTCTTGCATATGTCTTTTCTTTTGATTTTACTATAATTAAGTAGTTGTTATTGTGTTTATTTTCACTTTGCTTTTATATCTAGTTACTTCACTTGCAATATAATATACTGTACACTCACACGTTTAACAAGCCTATTGGTTTTATACTTTTTTTGTATTTATATACAAAGTAAAGAGAGGTCTGCAATCTAAAGTAAGGTTCAATATCTTCTTGTCTTTCAGGCTTAAAGGGAATCCTGTATGCTTGAATGGAAGTTTAGTTCAGTTTTGTAAATCTCAAACTGAGAATGAAACTAGAACAAGCATTGCAACAAACTCCACCACCACTGAGTGTAAACCACAATCATGCCCTTATGAGTATTCCCTAACATCTCCTTTAGATTGCTTTTGTGCCGAGCCTTTGCGAATAGGATTTCGGTTGAAAAGTCCTGGCTTTTCAGATTTTATTCCATATAAAAAAATGTTTGAGGGGTACTTGACTCGAGGTCTCAACTTGTCTATTTATCAACTCTATATCTATTCATTTGCATGGCAAGAAGGACCACGACTGGGAATGTATTTAAAGCTCTATCCTATCTATGATAACACTACCAACACTCATTTATTCAATCAAAGTGAGATTAAACAAATCAAGAGCATATTCACTGGATGGAAGATCCCTCTTGATGGCATATTTGGACCTGTAGAACTTATAAACTTCACTTTGTCAGATGTTTATAAGAATGGTTTGCTCCAAAACTTCCTTTCTTGCCCTAAGAATATATATCCATAACTTTCATTTTTTTTATAAAAAAATTCTTATATTATCATATAATGTTGCAGAATCCAACCTTTCTTTATCAACAGGCATAAGTAAAGGTGCATTGGTTGGCATTATACTAGGGACCTTTGCTAGTGCAGTTATATTATCTGTAATCATTTCACTTCTTATATTTAGACGGCACATGAGGGGCTATCATGTAGTTTCAAAACGACATCAAGGTGAGTATGTTAAACTTTCTGATGATAGGGTGTGCAAGTTGATTGTATATATTATTATGTGTATGTACTATACTTCTTTCCAAATTTATTGTCTATGAAAAATAATTTTCTTATCAAATATTACATACGGTATTATTTTTCCACAAGGATAAATCTGGATGCTCTTATGATTTTTGTTCATTAATCACAAGAACACTCCATTAGTTTCATTTTCATTTATCCTACAGAATAATGAATGAAATTGCATTTTATTTAGCTGGTTGTTGCTTAAATATTGAGGAAAAGTCATGTTTTTGGGCCCTTATTCAGTTATTCATCTTGCTTTAGATTCATTTTGGATTTGAGTCACTGCGAAACACTTCCTTTTATCCAAATATATCTTATTCATCTCTTAGACATTTTTCACGAAACGAGATAACAAAAATGGCACATTCTTTTAATAACACTTAGTTTTGTTCAAACATTTAGAGACCTATTTTCTTGTATAGCATCTAGAGCCTTGTTAAAAATTGATGGTGTCAAGAGTTTCACATATGGAGAGCTGGCTTCGGCAACAAACAATTTTGATATCTTCACTCAAATTGGCCAAGGTGGATACGGAAAGGTTTATAAAGGCACTCTAGCTGATGGTAGGATTGTGGCTATAAAGCGTGCACAAGAAGGGTCATTACAGGGTGAAAAGGAGTTCCTAACTGAAATACAATTGTTGTCAAGGTTACATCATCGAAACCTCGTTTCTTTGGTTGGTTATTGTGATGACAAAGGTGAACAGGTACTTTATCTCATGTCTTTTAAAAATTTTGATTGATATGGTATTACTTTTTTTCCCTAGCCATAAATGGTTTGAGAAATAAATGCATAGAGGGACAAAAGATGTAATTTCAATGTTTTATTAGCCTAACTATGATAAAATATTGGAAAGAGGATGAACCATCACTGAGGAAGGAATTTGATTAACCAACTTAGTGTATGGATAGAATTTCATGCCTACTATCATTTGTTAATTGAAATTTATTATCACATCTAATTGTTGCTGTCAACAGATGTTGGTGTATGAATATATGTCTAATGGCACTTTGCGAGATCATCTTTCAGGTAAGCCTTTGAGTTCAAGAAATGCAAAATGACAACCTTTAATTCCATATGCAAATATTGTGATCTTTTGTATAATGTTTTATGTGTATGGTACCATGAGCAGGAAAGATTAAAGAACCTCTGAGTTTCGCAAGGAGGTTGAGAATAGCTCTTGGTTCATCCAAGGGAATCCTTTACCTACACATAGAAGCTGATCCTCCTATATTTCATCGAGATATCAAGGCCAGCAACATATTATTGGATTCTAAATTTGTCACAAAAGTTGCTGATTTTGGACTTTCACGACTTGCTCCAATGCCAGATATTGAAGGTGCAGCGCCTGCTCATGTGTCTACTATTGTAAAGGGGACTCCAGTAAGTGTTTTACTTGAATGAAATTAAATTAGAAGCTTCTTTTTATATATATATATATATTTAATATCTGCAATAAAAGAGATGGAATTCAAATACTATATATACTAATATATGATAATTAGCCTTGGTTCATGACTACATATTGCTAGTATGGTATCTCATTATTTAAATATTTTGTATGTCCAGGGTTATGTTGATCCAGAGTATTTTTTAACGCAAAAGTTGACAGACAAGAGTGATGTATATAGCCTTGGTGTTGTGTTTTTAGAGCTTTTAACAGGGATGCAACCAATTTCACATGGGAAAAACCTTGTTCGAGAGGTAATAAATAGCCTTCCTTCTCCTCTTTTGTTCGAAATTAATTGTCTTTCATCTTAGACCAACTAAACATTTGTACTCTCTCTCTCTCTCTCTCTTTCTCATACACACACCAGGTTAACATTGCATATCAATCTGGTATAATATTCTCGATTATTGATGGAAGAATGGGTTCATATCCTTCTGAATGTGTGGAGAAGTTTGTGAATTTGGCCATAAAATGTTGCCAAGACGAGACAGATTCAAGACCTTCGATGGCAGAGGTGGTCCAGACTCTAGAAACTATAAGGCTGATGATGCCAGGGTACTCTGACCCCTTACTAGTAGAATCCATGGAAGGTGACTCAGGAAAGACATCTACTACTCCACCTTCGTCATCCTCTATGGTGAAGAATTTGTACACATCGTCATATGTTTCTGGTAGTGACCTTATTAGTGGAGCGATTCCCACCATCACGCCTAGATAAGATAAGACCATATAACACAACCTGCTCCAGCTCTGATAAGTCTCTAACTCTTACTATTGTTGTATATTTGTATTGGTTTCCTCATTTCTGCTACTGCATAGTCAGTGTTTTACACCACTAGGCTACATCATTCATCATTTGCGTAAAATACAAAAATGCCTTTTGTATTTGATTAGGAAATTTAATTTGGGAGCGTTCATATGTAACTGTAATTTTTAATATTTTAATTAAAAATATATAAAATATTAATTAAAATATAAATTATATTATATATTTTTTAAAATAGTAAAAAAAATTAAAATAATAAAAAATCATTTCAAATGAAGTCATACATGGATACATACATAATTCCCATGCATAGGTCACACAGTCCACTTCGTTTTCTTAATGAGTGTGTCACGTAGTATGTTGGATCAAAGT